GCCTCATGTACCTCATGCCCTTCCCCCAACCTAGCCCTGCCCCACCCTTGCCCATCCAGGAAGGGGGAGGCAGCTCCAGGCTATGACAGGAATGCAGCTGGCAGCAGCACACAGCAGGGGGAGAGGGCGGCCTGCTGCCCAGAGAGTGGGCAGAGGGCCTGCTGCCAGGGTGAGGAGGTGCCTCTGCTCTCCCTTTTGCTCCCTAGATTCCCTTCTTCCTGGGCAGTACCAGGACCAGGTGGCACAGGACACCACCATGGGGCTGCCCCAGGCCAGCAGTGAGTGCTCAGATTCTGCTTCTCCCCAGGGAAGCAAGTGCAGGAGGTGGCAGCTGCTGGGTGCCAGTGGCTTGACTCCTGGGTCCCACTGCCTTGACTCCAGCACTGCCCCAGGGCAGCTTTCTGAGCCAGGGAGGTGGAGGATGGGCTAACAGCAGCAGCCAGTAGGGAGGGGGAAAAAAGACAAACAGCTCCAGGAATCTTGGCTACATTTTTTTCTATACCCTAGTGATAAGCCATCCTGGGCTAGGGATCTCATAGCCATTATCCTTCCTAAGCCTTAATCTTCAGAGCCTGAGACTGTGATAACCTCACATTATGGATGAGGACACTGAGGTGGGAATGCTCAGACATGGATGCTGAGGCAGGGCCTGAACCTGAGCATGGAGCTCAAAGCTTGAGTTCTTGTTGTCTGAAGACCTGCATCATCAATCAGTGGAATCAGAGGCCCCATGGCTGTGAGTTCTCCAGTACAGATCTATAGGGGTTCTGGAGTAGTGTCTAGTATTAGCTGTGGCAGCAAGTGGGCTGGTAGTGACTTTGCCAGGATTGGCGCAGACCTCTCCTGTACAGTGGAATTGGGACAAGTTTAAGTCCACAGAGGCAGTTTGGGTCACCAGCTTTGTCCTCTGGTGACCTATGTCCCTCTATTCATCCAGGTGACATGAAGCCTGGAGAAGTGGCAGAGTACCCAGAGGTGAGCAAAGCTGATTCCACAGCTTGGAGTTTCATTCTTCCTCAGAAGTGGGTTTGCCACGAGGCCCCTGTTTTGACCCAAGTACTATTTCCCTAAGTCCTCAATGACTTATGTTAAGGACTTTAAAGGGTAAACCCATCTGGTCAACATCAATACCTTTGCCAGACTCTAGGGACACCTGGAGCAGCCCCTGATGTGTGTGGTTTGGGGGGTCAGGGAAGGGAGCTTGAAGGAACAGATTGCTACATTTTTTGTGTGTACATGTTTGTGTGTGTACATGTGCACATGCATGCGTGAATGCGCATGTGTGTGTGTGTATGTGTGTGTGTGTGTGTGTGTTATGTAGGCCAGAGGTTGACATCAAGTGCCTTTCTCAATTGCTTCTCTATCTTATTGTATTGAGAGAGTCTCTCACTGAACATGGGGCTCACTGATTGGCTAGACTGGCTGGCTAGCAAGCTCCAGGGATCCTCCTGTCTTCAGCTCCCCAGTGCTGAGATTATAGGTGCATTTGGGTGCTAGGGTTCAAACTCAGGTCTTCAAGCTTATGTGGCAAACCCTTTAATGACTGAGCCATTTCCCCAGCCCAACCTCTGCACCTGGTTGGATGGCTTTCTACCTGTCTCTTGGGCAAACAGGGTGGCCCATATCCAATAACAGCCTATCTATGATGGAAGGAAGCTGATTATGCTGGAATCTGGCTTAACTTGAGGCAGGATGAGGAAGAGGATGTAGCTGCTTGGAAGACACCTCTAAGGACTTGTGTGACCTCCTCCCTGCCTTCTGTAGCTCCCTCTCCCAGTCTCCCGGCTAGGGGACTCACTCTGGGCTAGCAGTCAGGTGGAAGGATTGCAAGACACATGGAAGGAGCAGAGAGAAAAGGGCCCAGCAGGGCGGCCCGCAGGGCAGCTAACCTGTGGCTAACCTACCATCTGGACTGTTTATCTGCAGCTAACCTGCGCCTGACATGTCAGCGGGCTGCTCAGGTGCTGGCTAAGTAACCTTGTCAGGAGACTTCAGCTCTACTTCACAAGTTAAACCAGTGTAATTATAATTCTTGGTTTCTGGCACAGAGCAAATCAGATAACAGATAATGTTTGGCTCAGGTAAGAACTCAATAAAAGAAGTGTTAATTTGGTGCTAATTTGCTATCCAGGGGCATCTGGGCAAGGAGCTTTGGCAAACCCCTCAAATCTCACCTATTCCTCTGCTTCCTGGGAGGCTGGAATCCAAAATGTGATGGGTGCCAAGGGCTCCCAAGGGAGGGCTCTGAAAAGCACCTAGTGAAGTAGCCAAAAGATAAAACAGGATGAGGGGAAGGTGTGTCCAGAAGTCAAGAGCAGTGAGCAACTCTGATCACCAGCCCAGCTGGCTTCTAGGAAACAAAGACTGGGGTATAGGAAGGAGCTGCAACCTAATTTCTTGCTTCCTGAGGGAGCTTGGTCTTACTCAACTGAGAGACCCAAGGGACAATCTAGAAACCATTCAGGTAAAATTCCATGCAGAGCCTGAAAGTCAGTGGACTGCTCCTCCAAGCAGGGTGGGGCACCAGGGCCTTCCTATCTCCTGTTCCTTTTTGCTATCTTTTCAGATCCTTCAGCCCTCAGCCCAGTGCCCTCAGCTCAGTTTCTCCTCACTCTTTCCAGCTTGACCCACTGGGTTCCCCCAGTTTTTTTCCCCCAGGGCTCTCCCTTCCTTGACAATACCTTGAGTACAAGCAACAGGTCACTCTGGCATAGCCTACCCTTGTAAACCCACCCTTGGCCTGGGGACCCTCTGTGGAGACAGAGCCACTGCCTTGTTGGTCTCTTTCCACAGCTCCTCTAGACAGACCCACGCTAACTGGGTCAGAAACAAGAGCAGGGCTGGTGGGTCTCCTAGTCTGTGTTCCTTCCCAAACTGCTGAGAAGTGATCAGGTGGGGAGAAGACTGGAGGATGACACCTCTAGAAAGAGAAGAAGAAAAATAAAAAGAAGAGAGGGAAGAGGAAGGAAGCAGAGAGGAGAGAGCACTATTCACCTTTTCTAGGAAGCTTCCTCTGGGATGACTTTCTTCAGGATGGGTGGGTGGGAGGTGGGTACAGCACTAGGGGACACAGGTGGATCGATCCTCTCTGGTGGGCCAGTTCTAATCTCTTTCTCTCAGCTCAGGGACACAGGAAGAAGGGAGAGGGAGAGGGAAAGTGTGTGTGAAAAAAAAAAAAAGAAGCAGGGCGTGGTGGCGTACACCTTTAATCCCAGCACTGGGAGGCAGAGGCAGGCAGATCTCTGTGAGTTCAAGGCCAGCCTGGTCTACATAGTGAGTTCTAGGCCAGCTGAGGCTACAGGGAGACCATCTCAAAAAGACCAAAAAAAAAAAAAAAAGAAGCAGAGGTGAGTCAGGGCTAGCTGCCTGGTGTGCTGGCCAGGGAGTTTGGCTGGGCATAGGGGTGGGGAAGGCACCCTTCCTCCCATCTCCTTTCTCATTGTATAAACAGTGGTGGAACAGCCCCAGTAGACTCTGTCTTCCTCTTACCTCATACTGTGTCAGCTTTGCACCATAGCTCAGGGAGACTATGAGAAGACTCTCTCCAGAGCAGATGGTGAATCAGAGGTGGGGTGGGAAGTCTCCTGTTCCCACCTGTCTCAAACCACAGCACAGTTTGTTCCTGAGAATTGTGTAAGCTGTGGCATTGATACAGCTTTAGTGAGCTCTGTTTACAGTATTTTCTTCCCAATCGTCAAGCCCTAAGCCAAACCCACAGACGCTGCTCAAGAAGACTTTGGTCTGTAGTAGCTACTTGCACTAGTAACTACTTGCACTAGCTACTCCCAGCTCTGAGCTGGGATATACTGGCTTACTCCCTAGTCCTGCCCCAGACCTTCATACTCACCAAAAAGCCCTTCCTGTCCCAGGACAAGTTCCTGACTCTAGCTCTAGGGGTTCTTGACTCACTCCAATGGCTCTTCTGTTGCAGAGCAACCCTAAGTCCCCCAGATTATCAGAGAAGCCTGCTGTTTGTACTAAGTACCCCTCCTCTTTGTCTCTATATTGGGCATTGCCGATGCCCCATGTTAGTGATGACTGATTATGGCCACTCCAGGAATGGAAGCTAGAAACCACATTCTAGCAAGCAGATAGAAGGCTTTCTATGTGACTTGGGCAAGCTTGCTGGCTTTCTATTTTCCTCTTGGTTACATGGCTCTCTGGAGGGGATGGGGGACATAGAATTACCTCCCGGTCTCTCAAGCTAGATACCCATCATGTCTTTGTCATGGGCTACTCTGGAGGCAATCCCAAAGTCAAGGGCCATCTCTAAGTCGTGGGACCACAACCTTGAAAGCGTTAGTCAACTAGCCATGTGAAGCCCCTTCTGCCCAAATCCCTTCTCCTCTGATTGCTTGTGTTCCTGGCATGCTTCCTATGTCTCCTGGTGTTCTCATAACTGTTTTGAGAGGGAGGGGATAGCTGTCCTGCTTATTTCCATGCTTCTGGTGCCCATGGCTGGCAGAGGTCACACAGGCCAGACATTTTGGAACATTCACACTCATGTCTATTTTAAGATAACACAACTTTGGGACAGTGCTGTGATCAAAGCTGCAGGGAAATAAGATGTGAGCTTTGTTCCCACCCAAGTCCCTCTAGGCAATGATGCTTTTCCCTGCTGTCCACAGAGAGCCCCATTCCACTCAAGAGCTTACCTCATAGCAAATGGGGTCTGTTTGGCCTATGTACACTGGTCAGGCTGGGTGTGCTGACCCAATTGTCATTTCCCTTCTAGCTTTGGGGGTCCTGATGGGAGACTTGTCCTTCTTCAGTGCTGTTTAGGGTGGGTTCCCTGCTGAGATCTCATCTGTCCCTACCCCAGCTTCCCACCAGCAAGGGGTTCCCATGCCTGTGTCTGGGTTTGCTGACCTAGATCATACTTAGGAACTGTGGGCACCAGTGTCCCTTCCTCATTTTCCCTGGGCACACATCATGGTTCCACATGCCATCCTACCCCATGTAATCCCGATCATCACCCCATTCTGTCCCGTGTCAGCTACCTTGTCCCAGTCCACTACTCTGAACCGTGGCTCGATAGCAGGGTCTGTCTTCTGAGTCTCTGAGGATGTGACAGCCCCATTCTCCACAGAATCCTGGAAAGAAAAGACAAGAGGTTACTCACAGGATGAAGGGAGAGAATAGAGCCCTGAGCTGTGGAATTGGGAGAGCCCTACGGGTAGGACCAGGGTGGGCAGAAATCAAGGACATCAAGTACTTTTGAGAACAGAGACACTGGTGTGGGTGTCATTATTCTTTGTACTTTTCTTCTCCCTCACAAAACAATGTCTCCAAAAATGAAAGACACAAGAAAACCTGGAGGAGCAGGCAAACTGGCTGAGAACCTGTTAGAAAGCAAGAGCAGTTATGGGTAGCTGCCAGACCTGGCAGGTGACGGGCAAAGCAAGTCACAGGGTATCACCAAGGGCATCTGGTGGGGTTCACCGTACCATACCTGATGACTCCCCCTGCTTTCTTTCCTCCCTGCCTGGTTAATCAATAGATTGTGTGGGTCACAGGCTCGGACATCTAGGTCCATGTGCTCACAGGAAGGAAAGGCAGCAGGAAGCCAGGAGGACTGGTCCTCCAGCAATCCCAGTCAGTGGTCACACATGGGGCAGAACAGGCAGAGGTGTGCCTAAGTGGGCTCAAGGTTAAATCAAACTAGCAAAGAGGTAAAGCCAGAGGAAATGGAATGTGCTGGGAAAATCACCCAGCCTCAGCTAGGTGATGTCATGCAGAGTGAGGCTAGAGAAAGTAGGTTGGCATATAAGTAAAATTCATGTTTCTCTTAGGAAGGGCAGGGACAGCCCTTGCCAATGGGGCCTTCCTGGGTCCCTGTGACCCAAAACAACCACAATACTGGTGATGGGAAGCCAGGTATTAGCAAGAGTTTATTAGGTCTAAACAGTGAGCTGGGTTTCTTTTTTCATTTCCTCAGACAGGGTTTCATCATGTAGCTCAGGCTGTCCTAGAACACAACATATGCAGTCCAGACTGATTTCAAACACTCAGTTCTCCTGTGTCAGCCTCTCCAGCACTACACCCAGTAGTAGTTGGGCTTTGCTGCTATTCATACATTTTTCTTTCCAAATAAGCCTAAGAGGATCTGATGGTCATAGTGATCATACTGACATTTTCTAGGAAAACCCTCATGCCACCCAAAAGTGGGCTTTTCTGGTCCCATCTTGCTTTGTGTCTCTTTGGGTCATCTGGCCAATATCTGAATTAATATACGAATATATGTATTATTTATTATTTATTGAGAGTGCTGCTTTGTAGCCCAGGCTGGTCTCAAACTCACAATCATTCTACTTTAGCCTCTCAGGTTCTGGGATTACAGATATGTAACACTATACCCAACTTTTATCCCTGAATTTTAAGGTTATTTTATTTTTAATTATGTGTGTCTGTCTGTGTATGGTTATATGCATGTGAGTGCAGGTACCCAAGGAGTCCAGAGGAGGGTGTCAGATTTCCAGGCGCTGGAGTTATAGTTGGTTGTGATGTGGATGGTGGGAAGTGAACTCTTGTCCTCAGCAAGAGCAGTATGTGCTCTTAACCACTGAGACATCTCTCCAAGCCCTCACCCCAATCTTTTTTAAAAAAGCAATTTATGTTCTCTTGAGGTCCAGGAAGAGGGAGTTTTCTGCATATCATCCATGGAAATTCCCTTAATAGCTCACATAAGCATTTTCCTTCTATGTCAATATCACAATTATCTTGTTTTCTTCCAGTTTTTTATTTTAACAAGGCAGTGTCTCTCATTCTAGCTCAGACTGGCCTAGAACTCACTCTATAGTACAGTCTCTGAAGCCATGGCCAATCCTTCTACCTCAGTCTCCCAAGTGCTGGATTACAGGCTTGAGCCACCATGCCTGGCCTTCCAGTTCTGTTTTAATTTTAGGATACCGCAGAGGGTTCCAGCCACTGTGCTCTCAACCTCCTCCCTCCTAGACTGTTATTTTCTTCTGGTCACCTTAAGTCCTTTCTCAGGATATTCTAGCCTTTTTCTGTACTGCAGCTCCAACCATTGCAACCCCCATCTTTATAACACAAGACAAAAGGATGGCCTTAGGTGGGAAGGGGCTATCACACACATTGCCATTTAATGGTTTTGTCTGTGCTATACTCTCCAGACATCCTAGAGTAGCATAACAGAACTGATTTAAGTTCATCTATCTAACACCACTGGAAACAGAAGAGAGATAGGAGGCACTCCCCTCTCTGACTTGTGTTTCTTGTCCTCAGTTCACTTTCCCCGTGACTCAGCTGAGTCCAGGTCCTGGGAATCACCCTAGCTTCTGCCCTTTGTGGCTGAATAGCTCCCTCCACTTTCACCTGTCAGGCCCACAGACATCCGAAGACTGGAAATGCTCCCACCCCCTCCATCTGCTTTTCCCTAGTCTTTCCTGGGACACAACAGGATCTCTAAGTACGCCTTTGGGTCCATGTTCTTCTCCTAAGGCACATGTGATGGGCAACATGTAGACTCCAACGGAACTTGTATCTCTCTCGAACGCACCAGTCCGGACTTACTCCAGTCCTTAATTCCAGTCTTAGGGGATCTGACACCCTCTTCTGGCTTCCCCAGGCAATAGGCAGGCACATGGTGCACTTACATAAATGCAAGCAAAACACTCGTAAAATAAAAATATTTTTAAAGGTTCTATCTAAAAAAAAAATGCATCAGGGATGGGTATGGTGGCACATGCCTTTAATCCCAGTACTCAGAAGGCAAAAGCAGGTGGATCTCTGTGAGATTAAGGCCACCCTGGTCTACATAGAGAGTTCCAGGTCTGCTGGAGCTACAGGGAAACCCTGCCTCAAAAAGACAACAAAATATGCATCAATGCAGGAAAATTAAAAAATAAAAGCTTGTTTCATGAACATTCATTGTCCATGGTTGTTCCTTCCTTCAAGCTGGTTGATGAAGAACTCTAAGTGATCTATAACAGGAAGTAGAACAATTGTTTGCTCTGTATCAGTTCTAAGGCTGTACTTGAAAAATTATTGAGTCCAGTAGTATAGAGAGATGATAGCTACAAATAGAAACAGCACTGTTAAGGGTTTTTTTTTTTATTTCTCAGGTGGAAATATTCTGTTCTAAACAAGAGAAGTGGGGAGGTAGCTGTTCTGGGACTCTGTGCCCTCCTCCCCAGAGCCAGGAGGCAGAGGATCTGTTCAGGCCATAGTGTGGCTCTAGGCTTGCTCCCAGCATGGAGAGGCCAGGGATTCAGGGACCAACCCTAGTGTGAGGGCTAGCACTGGGAGCACCTTGCCCATGAAGGATGAGGGAAAAGACAAAGGGGAAGGAGCAGCCATGACCTTTTCCTGTCTTTCTCATCTTTCTGCTGTCCCAGCCTAATCAGACCTTGAGAGGCCTGGGGGCCATCAGGCAGTAACACCACAAGCGATACGCTTTTGACAATTCCTGGAGTAACAATGTGAGTGAGGTACTTCCTGGGTGACCTTATGGGACGATGCCCTTCCTTGGCAAAAGCCTACGTTAGTGTCACAAGATTGAGCGCACACATGTCCATCATGGGAGGAAACTCTAAGGAGAAACTAGAGCTAGCCACACACCAGTGTTTTCTTTAGTAGGAATGTTCTGAAGGATTGGACACATCCCCAGACTAGCTGTGAGATTCAAGAGGGTCTAGAAAACCTCTATATCTAGACAAAAGACCCTTTGGATGAAGCTCTTCTAGTCCCATCTCCAGGGGCTCCAGGAACTGAGTCTTGCCTGTAGTAGCAGCTGTCACACACCACACATAGATTTAGACCTTGTTTTCTAGGCACCCAGGCCCCAGTGTTTATTTTATACTCAGGCTGGGCTTACCCTTGCATTCCAGTAGCAAACACCATACATGAATCAGAAGTGCATAAAGGTCACACCAGAGAACTAGGGTGCAACCTAACTTTAAATGTCTTTAAACTTTTTTTTTTTCTGGAAGTTTCCACAATGCATTATTTAAAAGACTTTTTTTGATTTAGGAAGGAAGCCAAAGGGACTTTTGGCAACCAAAAAGAATCCCAAGGTGAAGAAAATGGTTCTGGGTGATTGGCTTTAGACTGAATACATTTCAGTATCTGGGTAGGGAAGTGAGTAATTTCGTAGTCAGACTTATATCGGCTTTCAGAGAATGATTAACATATATGATGATAAGCGTGACTTGACAAAGCCTGTGACAGCTTTCTTTTTAAGGGGGAGGAAGAGACTAAGACAAGGTTTTGCTATGAGGTCCCAGCTGGACTTAAACTCACAATCCTCAGACTTCTGAATGCCACCATGCCTGACAAGAAGCCATTTTCTTGCAGGATTCACCCGAGGGACATGAGACAGTCCCATGACAAAAACAGTGCTGAAGACCCAGTCTCTTGTCTGAGTCTCTCCCAACCTTTCCATGAGGGAAGAGGTACATGGTCAGGTGCTCAGGGCTGAAAACATCTCACTCCTTTCATTGGCCTGTCTCCCAAGCTAGAATGTAAGCTTCTTGAAGTAGGGATCCTGATTGCCTTGCTTACTCTGAGGAGAAAACCCCAGATAACCCCAGGCTGGCATTCAGATACTTGCTGAATGATATGATTCAGTAATGTGTCTGCAGATGAGTGACCTGTTTAGGTGAAAGGTGTGAGTAGGGTTTAGATGCAGGCAGGGTGGCAGAAGAGTGAGAAACAGTCACAAGGAGTCGCCAATGTGACCTTCCAAGGTACTGTACATTTGCAGCGAGAGCCACTGGACCTGCTGCACAGTATAGTAGGGACAGTAAGAGGGTGTTTTGACCTCTGTAAATCCTTCCAGCCTCAGTCTGAGGCCATGTGGGAGAGAAGTCCACAGAGAGCAGCACTTGCTACAGCTTCTCCAGCACAATGCTAATCACTGGCTCTCAACTTATGGCCATAGTCCTGCTCATATCACGGACCATTCTCCTGGCCTCCATCCTTAGCCAGCTATCTCAGACCCAAATACCCAGAGCACCCTGCAGATGTTACCTGGAGGTTCCCTAAAGTTCCCAGACATGTCCTTCAATATGTCTGTCTCCTGGGGACAGCCTGGGGTAGGGGAAGAATCTAAGGCAGCCTTCTAGTTTGC